TAACGGTCATGATGATAATGTCTAAACGAAAAAGATAATAATAATTTTTAATTATTTTTCTTTTGTTAGTCCTCAAAATGAACGTAGCGAGCCGGTTTACTGATTTGCCGACCACTACGTGTTTGATATGGAGGGAGGATAAGACTTGGTGCCGGTGGAGGGGATTCGGATGTTTGATTATTTGATTGCGCAGTTGCCGATGTAGATTCGAAGTCGTTGTCGGTGTATGCGGGTTTGATTCGATCAATGGAAATAGTCTCTCGTTTTCCATTCTTGTTCACTGTAAAGTGTTTGTCTGAACGTTTAATAACTTGAAAGGGTCCTTCGTATGGAGGTTGCAATCCTTTTCTGATGGCGTCGACTCGAATGAAGACGAATTTGCAAGTTTGTAGATGTTTGTTGATCTGATCTCGTCGGGGAGATTGTCGAGGTGCTGTTGGTTGAAGTTGAAGCATTTGTCTAGTTAATCGGTTAGTGAAGTCGGCAATGTTCACGTCTGTGGAATCGGCTGAGGGGACTAGCTGTCCAGGCAAGGTTAGGTTGGTGCCATAGACAAGTTGAGCCGGTGTACATCCTAAATCTTCTTTGATAGTAGATCGGATACCAAGTAAAATCAAAGGTAAGTATTCACTCCACTTAGATGTATCATTCTGCGCCATCAGGGAGCTTTTCAGTTGTCTGTGGAATCTTTCCACTAGACCATTCGCTGCCGGATGATAGGCTGTTGTGGAGATATGTTTCACTCCCAGAAGTCTCGTCAGTTCGCGAAAGAGTGTCGATTGGAATTGAGGACCGCGGTCGGATGTAATAGTAGTTGGTACACCGTAGTTTGACACCCAACGGTCGAGAAAAACTAAAGCAACGTTTTCAGCAGATATGTCGTTTAAGGGGCATGCAATAGCCCAACGAGTAAATCTATCAATCGCTGTCAGGATATGTGTATATCCCCTTGATGTTGGCAATGGTCCCACGATATCTATATGGATATGCTGAAATCTCCTTTCGGGTAATTTAAACGTCTTCGGGGTTGTAATAGTGTGGCGGTGTACTTTGGAGCATTGGCATTGGATACATTCTCGTGCCCATCTCCGAATGTCAGAGTTCATTTTAGGCCACACGAAGCGTTCGCTGATCAGTCTGACCGTGGCGCGTACTCCAGGGTGGGAAAGCGAATGTAAATGTTCGAACAATGCTTTTCGGCAACTGAGAGGGACAAATGGACGATTAGTGCCGGTAGATACATCGCAGACTATGGTTGCATCTGATAAGGGGATAGGCACATCTTTGAGTTGTAAGGAAGAGTTTCTGCGGCAGGTTTGGAGTTCAACGTCATCTCTTTGTAATTGAGCCATACGATCAAGACTGATGTCTACCGACGTTTGGAGCTGGTTAATGTCACTTCTTGAAAGAGAATCGGCTACCACGTTCGCATCCCCTTTGATGTACTGAATGTCGGTTGAAAATTGGGAGATATAATCCAACTGTCTGGCTTCTCTAGGGGAGTGTTTATCAAGTGAAGTAGTGAAAGCATGACACAGGGGCTTGTGGTCAGTAAAAATAGTGAAATGCCGGCCCTGTAGTAAGTAACTGAAATGCTTCACTGCAAGATATATGGCCAGCAATTCTCTCCCAAAAGTGCTGTATCGTGTCTGAGCCGGTTCCAACTTCTTAGAAAAGAATGCGAGTGGGGTGACTTCGCCCTTCATCTTTTGTTGTAATACTGCCCCTACAGCTACTTGGGAGGCATCTGTGCACAAAATAAGCGACGCTTCGGGGTTGATATGGGATAGCATAGTGACTCTGGATAAGGCATCTTTTGCGTTGCAAAATGATTCGCGTGCTTCAGCTGACCACTGAAACTTTTTAGGATCATTTTTAAGGAGGTCGGTTAACGGCTGGACGATGGAGGCACACGAAGGAATGAAACGCCGATAGAAATTAAACATCCCCAAAAAACGTCTGACCTTCTTGAGTGAATCTGGTTCGGGGAAGTTTTTGATGGACTCTATCTTTTCCTCCGTAGGCGTAATACCATTCGTGGTTATGTGGTGTCCCAGAAACTGTATAGAGGAGACACCGAATATGCACTTTTTGGGGTTAATGACGACTCCATATTGCTCAAATCGTTGAAATAAGATGGTGAGGTGATCAGTATGTTCTTCGGGCGACGAGCTAGCAATTAAAACGTCATCGATATATACAAATACAAAGTCCAAACCTTGTGTGACCTGATCCATGAAACGTTGGAAGGATTGTGCTGCGTTCTTTAGGCCAAATGGCATGCGGAGAAATTCAAACAAACCGAAAGGTGTGATGATGGCCGTTTTTTCGATATCCTCTTGGGCAACTGGTATTTGGTGATAGGCCCTGACCAAGTCTACTTTAGAAAAAATGGTTTTTCCGTGTAATGTCAGGGAGAAATCATGAAGATGAGGAATAGGATAACGGTCGGGAACTGTGGCATTGTTTAAATGTCGGTAATCCCCACATGGCCTCCAATCATGATCAGCTTTAGGCACCATGTGTAAGGGCGAAGACCAAGGACTATTGGAGGGTCTGATGATGCCGAGCTGCATCATGTGTTCAAATTCTGCCTTGGCTGCTGCCAATTTGTCCGGGGGTAATCTACGGGACGAGCACGAACTGGTTGACCCGTAGTAACTATCTTGTGAGTAACTGTGTGAGGGACGTCCTCGATGTTGTACGACGGCTTAAGAATTTTAGGGAAACGGTGAAGTAGGGAGGAAAAAGGGCAATCTGCTGGTCTTTCAATACTGATATTATAGACAGAATAGCTGGAGATAATTCCATGGATCTTTAGATGGGTGTTGTTATCAATCAGTTTTTTATTGTTGACGTCAACTAACAGGTTGAAATTACTCAAGAAATCTGCTCCGAGGATGGCGTGACTGACGTCGGCTACTATGAAAATCCATGTGAAACGCCGACGTAAACCTAGATCCAGTATGAGCGATTGCTCTCCATACGTCTGTATGCTTGTGTGGTTAGCTGCCCGGAGAGACAGTTTTCCGGGTGTCCGTGTAGATCGCCTGGATAGTGAAGGAGGGATTACGCTAACTTCTGCTCCCGTGTCTACCAGGAATAAAGTGTCTGAAGTTTTATCCTTCACATAGAAGAGGCGACTTGTTTGCTTGCCAGTAACAGCTGTCGCCATCACTGTCTGGCTGAGGCGTTTCCCTGAGCCTGGTTGGCTTCGCTAAAGCTGCACGGTTTTACACATTTCAGGGCATGACGTCCAAACTTCCAGTGATACCAGCATATATTGCTATCCCGAGAAGACGTGTAAGAACGCTGTCGTGAGAAGGATCGTCGTCGTGATGGTGACCTTCTTTGTGAACTCCGTCTCCGGACTTGTCGATCAGACTTATTAGTTTCCAAATTGTCAATCCTTGCCGCTAAGTCTGCAATGGCGGCGAGTATCGGTGTGTCTGCCGTGGGTGTGGAATGACACGGTGTGGCACTATCAGATGCTACGTGACTTATGGTGTTATCGGATAAAACATCCAAAATACTATCTGCCATGTCACTTAGTTGGTCTAAGTCATACGACTTTCCTGAGATGATTAAAATTTGCTGGACATTTCTAGGTAAACGTTGCAACCACATCTGTTTCAGCACTACCTCGTCTACTTTATGATGTCCGATTAACTGGCGCATGTGCCTGAGCAGCTGGGATGGTTTACGTGGGCCTAGTTCACAGCCTGTGAGCAATTGTTGGATTCTTTTCTCATCCGACAAACTGGTACGTTGTATGAGGAGGGCTTTAAGTTTATCAAATTGATGTTCCGTCGGAGGATCTTCGATGAAATCGCTGATTTCTGTCAATACTGACGGAGGGAGTTCTGCCAGCACCATACCATATTTGGCTATTTGGGACTTAATGCCCCGTGCTTCTAGCAACGGTTCAATTACCGCAAACCAAATCCTTGGTTCTGCGAAACCGTATTGGGGTAAACGAAAATCAGTGATGGCATTTATTGTGGCATTTGTCTCGCTATTAGTTGTCTGCTCGTTTGATGTACCGGACTGAGGTGATGACATTATTAATATGAGGTTATTGGTGCAAATTAGGATACAAATATAAACCACACACAAAATCACAATGAATATAAAAATAGCAAAAATAAGAATATAAATATGCCAAAATAATCCGTGTTCTTATCGGGCTCACCAATTAATTTGTAGGGGACTAATATTAGAGTTCACTAACATTCCAAGTATAAAAGTAATAATCCAAGTCAGTGGAGTGTTAAATCACATTGTTACGTACTCAACAGAACCATTATTTTCCTGTTAACCTACTAATACAGAGAGATCGTGTGTTCTGATATTATTTAATGTTGTAAAACTCAAACCATTGTTTACATATCCCATCTATTTTTGAGGGACTATTTTCCAGAGTGAATATTTCCACCTAAGCAACATTGTGTTTTTCTCCATCAGCATCCTACTGATCATTTCCTCCTCTCATCGCTTGTTCATACAAATACATGTATCGCTCATATTGATGAACATATGAGTTTACTTAAGCTACTTCATGGTTATGTCAGTCGACCTTTGCAAAATCAGTGCATGCAGTAGTGCGCAGTGTTTCTTGGTTGTGGTTTCTCCAAGTAAATGTGTCACTTACAGCCACTGTAGTCAATGAATCCTGCTGATTTGAAACCTCTTTCTGTCATGAGGAAGCATCGTAATTACACTCTTTAATTTTACTTCTTCTACCTACTCTTCCATCTTTCTACTATTTCACTATAGAATCCTGAAAATGTATACCACCTTTGATATGCATCATTCATCGTCAAATCTCTATGAATTCTCGTTCATTCCTGAGGAGATTTATTACACAGAACAAACCAAGCACAGTGGCAAAGGTGTGGACTCCACTTGTTTCCTAAGACCTAGATGCGTGCGAATTTGTATAACATTTGGGTGTGTTGGACGATGAAAAGGCCAACATATTTTTGATGATAATAATAATATTCATATGTTTAGTATTATTGTTATATATATATTCTAGGTTCCATTTAGTGAAGTGTTTGCAGGTAAAAACAACTGAACTAAGACTACACTCCAAATAGAAAACTACCTAAATACAGGTATAATAATTTTAATTCGAGGAAATCTACTAATATCCTGAGCATCGATCTTGGTAACTCATGATCCATGTTACAGTAAGTTCCAGATATAATGAGTCGAGAATCGAAAGTTGCTTTAACCTCTGTCATCCTCACAAATTAGTGTTTGTGTTGAAATATGATTCCCTCATTAGTTAGTGGAGGCTTCCAAATCGCATGTTGTGTTGTGTAGACAAATCTGGGGAAGGAGAGCTTGCATAATGGACTTCCAGTGTAGCTTCTGGCTTCCAAGTACATCCCCATAATGTCTCGTTCAGGTGAATACAAGTTTTGAGAAGATTTCGTTTCTTCCAGATTTAAAAGTTCTCTCACTTTACACGCTATATCCTGTTCATTAGCAGACTGTGAAAGTAGGTCGTTTTACCTTAACGTCTTCGAATTTTCTCACACCAAGATTTGGAAGTGTTGTGCTGTTCACTTTTATCAAGTTACATCCGTCAATTCGATTTTCAATGAAACACTTCTGTTTCAGAATGTGAATTGGTAAGTTTCACTTAACTTTGTATTGAGGATAGCCTATATCTTCTATCCAAGATGCAACTTGATGAATATCCCATAAGGAGGCTGGTGGAATTAAAGGCATTCTTACATATTTCAGTTATACTCATCGTAATTTATCCTGAATAATATCTTCAGCGAATACCGAGGATGCAATCGAAATTTCGCCTTTGGTATCTATAGGTACGGCTGCCACTTTACAGCTTATTTTTCAGTATCCAATATCGTTTCTACAGGCTAGTTTGAATAAATATGATTTTGTGATTAGGGATAGATTTCGAGTTGGTGTCTTTTTTTAATTTGTTTTCTTATCCACATTTCCCTGGTAAGTAGTCATCGATCTTCTTACTGAAAACCATAGTAATTCAGCCAACAGGTTTGGGGAGGACTGCTCAAAAAATAAGAGGGATAAACAATTCACAAAAGCAGCTCATCTTCAGTCACCTCGGTAAATACATGTGCAGAAACTAGTCGGACTTGGTAACTGATACTCCTAATTGTAAGTAGGACCTATTTTTAAGTCATGTCAGAGAACTATAACCTGCCTTGTAAATATACGTAAATTTTCGGGTAAAAATTCCTCATTTTGTGATTGGTCGGCTAAAGGGCACTCGCTCGTTTGCATCCCCTTGGAAGCTACTGTTGAAAGTTACCATGATTTTTTCGTCTTCGCTTCTTGATTTTGAAGTGAAAGCTCCTGGTCTTCGATAAAATTCTGTGTAGTTCGTCCCGCTACTCACCTGTCGTAGCTTGGGTTGTATGCTAAATAACAGATGTTATTAGTGTAGGTTATTCAGACCAAAAGACAAAAATATATAAAGAAAACGTAAAAACAGACTGCTAGTTAAATCTCAGGTTGGTACATATACATTCATAAACATATATATAATATCAATAAAAATAAGTGTAAGTGTAGAAGGTGGAGCAGTCAGGATAGTAAGACAGAGGAGAATGCAAAGAAGTAAAACGATGAGTTTAGATGTATACCCATGAATGGTGTATGAGATTTTAGAGGGATAAGCCATTTGGGCGCACTCCTTGTGTCGCTGTATGAGCTGTCCACGGACAATGCCACAGCTACATCTGCCAATAGAGTTCCAGGGGTGGCAGACCAGCAGTAAAAAGAAGTGGGAACGCACTCGAGTTCTTGCCCTCTAGTGAGCTATCCGTACTTGATTTCCACGAAGAAGCCTATAGCTACTCAGTGGGATAACACCATTTCGGGATGATCCTAGTCATTTGTTATTTTTTAGGCAGTAATCAGGTCTATCCTAAGCCAACTGTAGCCAATCGTGAATGGGCCTGACTTCTTTAGCCTTTCATCATACGGTTTGTTTCGGAGACTCTTCACTCCATTTGTAGCCCTTCGTTGGACTCTTTCTAATAGGTTGGCATCTCTTCTAAGCATTGGGGGTACAATAATACTATGCACCTTAAGGTGTGGCCTGACGTATGTATTGTACAACCTTAGAGAGAGCTCAGGAGTGAGTACACCTAACTGTTTATGTGTGAATTGTATGACCGCACGTGCCTTCGCTACCTCCCCACGTAATTCACGCTTGTGTCCAATTTCGCTGTCGGAACTATACCTAAGTCGCGCTCCGACATTGTGTAGGACAAGCTTTCATTGCACAGGGTGTAACTTGCATTCCGCAGTCTACAGGTCCACAGCTTCACTACTTTGCACTTTTCAGGTTGAAAGTCATGCCACTGACCACCGCACAGCCTTCCAGAGGGTTTAGATCTTCCTGCAGCCTATCTGAGTCCTCCGGACACATTATCGCCCTCCATATCTTTACGTTGTCAGTGTAAAGAAGAATCAAGCGGCTTAGA